CTCTAAAATTCCACTCTGTGTCTTAAAGATAAACTTAATGCAAAAAAGCACTGAAGCACTCTCAATATAACTTCCCTAACTGCAAACAATGCAAAGCAAATCCTATTACTGAAGTTTCTGAAATATGCATTTTTGCCATAAGGGTTATCTTTGTGAATACAATTATAAATTCAACCTTTAACCTGCTTAAGTCTTTAGCTTGGCAATGTTTTATCACCGTACAGAAGCACAAATAAAGATCTTTTTGACATGCCATACATTTCATCTGTGGCCTCTATATTAGCGTCCTTATTTTACAGCTACTGGTAATATCGGTAATAAACTTAATTATTTTGGTAGGTAGAATAGGTCAGACTGTGGAGTCCAAACATAAACTGGGTGCTATGAAATCTGACTCAAGGAAAAGAAAATCCCACTGTTTCTTTCTTTTTTTCCGCACCCACCAACCTGGCAACCTGACATGGCTAATCACAGTGTGAGGTGGCCTTTCTGCGCTATAGCCACACACCCCACCAACATCTGTCATGGGGGAAAGTTCCCACAGCTGTAAGTTGAACCCATGGTGTCATTTTCTTTTGGATGACGTCATGTGGTGGGACTGTGACTGCGTTGCATGACGTGGCGTTGATTGATATCTCTCAACTCTTGCTCTTTATATTCTGCCCTCCTTTCATATATATATTATATATATACTTTATATTGTATTTTTTGCAGTTTGTGGAGTGCAGTAGTCAATTAATTTCTTGGCTGGTACTTGTAAAATGACATGCTGACTGGTTGGTTTGTTGATTATAACTGGAAGTGGCCTTTAACTCTTTGTGCCATTGTACTGTGTATGATGTCCTCTTGTGGGGTTTGTGTGTATACATGTACTGTATGTTTTATTTCTTTTTCTCTTTGCATTCATATCCACAATTTTATATTTCCTCAAAACCCTGAATTTAATTTAACAAGAAATACCTTTTTCTTAATTTCCTCATCAGCTATTAAGATATGAAACTGCCAGAATGTGTTTGAGTATCCAGCAGATCCTTTATATGCATTCTCCCTATAACAATACTGTGCAACCACTTTTCCTACAATTACAGCTGAAAGGTATAAAGGTTATTTGATCAACAACACAACTAAAGACAGTGGCAGATGCTATGGAAACAGTGTATCAACATCAAAATTAAATACTTGACTTTAAATAAATTCATGTCTGGACTTTGACCTATACTAACAGTTATGCTTTTATATAAACAATGCCATTATAATGAATCTTTGTTTCTGGTGATTTATACTCATGTTCGCATGGCAGCAGAACTTTCAAGTCTTTTTGAACTTCTAGGAGCAGTGATTCTTCCACTTTTTTTGTGCTGCTTATAGATTTTTTCGTGCTCATTTTTGTCCCATTTAATTAAAACATTAGGTTCACACTATGCACTAACTTGCCACCTATGCAAGGTGCTGGCTGCGTTTTGTATGATGATTTATCGTCTGTTCCTTCATTTTTTATCCAGCCTCTTTTAACTGGCATCTACAAGGAGCACGGTCCTTTTAGAACTTCACTGTGTAAAGTTCTTTCAATACCTTTGCTGACTGTTAAGCCCGGTCTGTACCCGATGCATTAAGCTATGATGCAATCACACCATCCTACCCAACCCGTGCTGTTGCATTAAGTATAAATGCCAGCAGCTCTTGTTCAGGTTTGTATGCCGTGTAGGAAAACCTGTGCATCATCCCAAAATATGACTGTAAATCAACTTTTGATAACACTACAGTGAGATAAAATACCAAACACCATTTTCTCAGACTAAAACACGTTGAACTTTGCTGTAAATGGTTTGTTTATTTTTGTTATTTAGGTGTAATGATTAGTTTCAGACAAAATTTTACAGATAAAAACATAGTTTGAACCAGACTTTACAAGCAGGCAAAGAATACTGTTCAAGTGTAAGTAGAAGTTACATTATATTATTCTCTACACATTGGATTTTATCCATTTCTTAAATCATGTCCTGTGCATGATCATGCTGACTCTCTTTATGTGGCTGCCTGCTCCAGCAAGAGAGTCTGGACAGCCTTCAAGGCTCTAAGTTTCACACAATAAGATTGATGGTACAGTATTGAAAAAAAAGTAGTTATATTGTGTGAGGTACTCCTCTGGAATGCCAAAGTTTCGCAGGAATTCAAACCATGGGCTTCCCACATATTTGGCTATGTGTGTCGTCAAAATGTTTTAGACTTGAAAGCTTATTTCTTTAAACCTGGCAACTTTTGGCCTCATACCTGAAAACTTTTTTCCTAAGATCTGACTACCTTTATCTTGATACCTGACAACTTTCATTCCTAAAAACATTACATCTACAATCTTTTCCTGAGACTTGACAGTTTTTTTTTTCCTAAGACCTGACAACCTTTTTCTAATATCTAAGACCTTTTAGCTTTTTTGCTAAGACCTGAAAACTTATTTCCTGAGACATGATGATGTCCTTAAACCCACAGCATCACCTGAATAAAGTTATCAAGTGTGTATAATATCAGTATAATATTTGTACAATACATTTATTTTGTTGTAATAAATAAATAAAAATAATATTAAATACTAAAATAATTAAATAAATAAATAATAAATAAATAAATACACTTTCTGAGGTCACTCAATCGCCCCCTGCTGGCCCATTTTGAAAAAAATTGAGCTCAGCGTCGCTTCAGATTTAATGAGGAGTTAAAGGAATAGTACACCCAAAACATAATTAGCCTTCATTTTCTACTCACCCCCATGCTGAACAACACTCTGGAGTACTTTTTTGATATCTCAAATGCATCTGGAGATCTGGGAGGCTTCTTGCTGTCTGCTGACATTCAAATAATGGAGGTCTATGGTGCCCGAGTCAGAAAGGTCCATAAAAGTCCACAAAAAACGTGTCAATATTCCTCCATACTGCTCGTCCAATGTATTCCAAGTGTCCTGAGTGGGTAGCATCCAGAATTTACTCGAAACTAAGTAATTTAGAATGTTTTTAGAGCATAAACAGTAGTGTATAGGATTTCCTGAAAGCGCGCACATGCGCGTTCACGACGCTACGGAAGCCGGCAGCTAAATGCTATTATATTATTGGCTTTGATCACCTTATTTAAATAAGTAAACTATGTGTGATACTCGAACTCTAGGGAATCGGGAGGGCAGCCATTGGGTTATAATAAAAATAATAATGACAACAATAACAGTGATTAATAAACATTACAGTAAAAAAGATTAAATATCAGTCATAAAACCTGGAAGAGCTAAAAATATTGCATAAAATAATAGTTATTTACAATATAAATGTGTAGAGAAACAATGAAAGAGAAATAATGTAATAAAAACACTTCCCTTTCTCACAAGACAGCAGTGCATATTTTTAGATGCACCTGAAAAATTTGTTGTATTCTTCTTTCCACTTTAATTTCTTCTTGTCTTACGGCTGTTAATATTTAGCTTAGTTGTTATTAAAGTTAAATTTATGGTGGTTTTCCATTTGGTTTTGTTGCATACAGTTTATTTGTTTTCTACAGCATTTATTTATCCAATGCAGACATAATTTCACCTGCAAATTCCATTCTACCGTTGTTAGTACTGACTGTCGAAATATGTTCACCTTTACACAAACTGTTTGCATTGTTTGTCATTCTGCCCACAAGTTTCTTTCTGAATAAAATGAGTGCAGACATTTTTCTGCAGCTGACTGTCAAATATGCTAAATATAGTCAAAATCTCTACTCGCAATCCATTTCAGATTTGAGAAATCTCTCTGCCTGTGGAAAGGAATTGTATTTGTATATTCTCTTCCCAATAATTTGCGTGATTTGGTCATCTGCAGATGTTCTGCATATCCATGAAGAAAATTGCAAAAAAATATGCCTTTTTTAGGTGGTTAGTATATACACCTTGTGCACATTATCAGATTTTTTAGTTTTTTTGTACAACCCACAAACCTTTTGAAGATCGGTTCCTTGATGTTTGAAGAATTTCAGCTATATCTTTTTTCTTTTTTTTCTAAGTAAAACAGATCAATTTGAAACTGTATTGATTTTCGTGTCGCATAAATGTGGAAAAATGTTCCATATAGCATGCAAAAGAGGGGACTGTTAGTGCTTTATGTGACTAATGGCTATGTTGGTTTTGTTGATTGTAACAAGCAAGTCTAAATCTGTGCCCTGTGTCTGAAAAAATAGAGCTGTTATGAAAAGGTAACAAGCTCATTTACAGAAATGGAAAGGGAGTAGAACAAGGACAGCACTCAGGAGAGTGGTCCTGTCGCTAAGTCAGATCCTGTCATATTTGTTCCCAAAGAGTGATTCAGTATTATTTTGCTTCCTTTCTTTAAACTGCATCACAGTTCAAAACATATTAACATTGATGTGCTGTTAGTGTATTCTTTTATATTCAGCTTGACAGCTACAACACACTCAGTTTCAAACTAATGTTAAGATAAGGAGGATGCTAAAAGGATTTTGTAGGGTTTTCAAATTAGCGGCTATTTGATGACACGTGGACTTGTGTCTTTTCTAACCATTTAGTCTCTGTCACTGTAATTATTACACAATTTAATGCTGTTTAATGCTTTTTTTCTTCTTTTTTATCTCTCATGCTCTTTTGTAGTTTGTTTGTAGAGAATTCACAAAGAGATGAATCACATTAATGTCTCTAGTGCCTTCTCTTTTCTAACCAAAATACCGCCAGTTTAAATCATGCCTTCCTTGGATTAGTGCTGTCACAGTGTAGATGTCTGTTCCATATGGTTTTAACACAGATCTCCCACCCCACCTTTAGCCCACTTATTTCTGGCTGTGATTGACACACTTTGTTTCTTTTTTCTTCTTCTTCCCGTCTGTTCCTCACGCTGTTGGCTGTGCCTGTCAGTCTGTGTGATAACCAGGAGCCAGCAACCCTGAGCATGTTTGCTGCAGCCTTCCTGATTCCACTCACCTTATTCTTCCCTGTCTATTTCTCTTTTTCTCTCTCTATGTCACAGGATGAAGGGCCACAACACCTTATTTCCACAAGTGCAGTAAAAGTACAAAGACTCCTCGTTCTGCTACATATCATGAAGAAAGGGTGGTCCCTTGATCCTCCTGGAAAGCCGCTGAAAGATTGGGTGACTGAAAGAAGGATCCCAGAGTTGTTATTTTTTATTATCATTTTAGTTTTTTTCTTTCTTCGCAAATGCCTCTCTTTTCCCTATTTGCTTTGGCATCTGTGGAAGAAGATTTTTGCAGAGACCAACTTTTTGCTGCTGTTTTTTAGACATGATAAAAAAAGAAAAAACAAAAAAACTACTTTATAGACTCATTATGCTCAAAGCATGCATACTGACACAGGATACAGATAAACTCACTTAAAGATATAAAAAAAAAAAATAAACCAAACATACAAAAAATTAAAGAAGCTGCACTTAATGAATGAAAACTTAAAAAAAAAGACTCTGTACATGTATAAATACGTGCAAATGCCAACACAAGAACTGAAGCAAATTCATGCATATGTGCACACACATACACACACCAATACACAAACACATACACACCAGCCTGCTGCCATTTTGGTTTTTGTGCCTACACAGGTGTTGTGCTCTGTGACAGGGCAAGCTCTGCATCAAAAGTGGAGAAACATGAAGAAGAGGAGAAGATTGGGGAAATCCAGGATAATTTACATGCATCATTCCTTAGGAAATAGGGACCAAAGGACTAAATGCTTTTTAAAAGATTATAAATATATAAATATATATTTAAAAACTCATACCTTGTAGCTGCAAGTATTTACTCATAGTCAAAAAAAAAGATCATTAAATCAATATCCAGTGGCTTACTGTTAGAGCAAAGATGGAAATGATGTAAAAAAAAAAAAAAAAAGACATGGAAACATAGTACAGGGGCCGACCTTTTGCTCTGGATGCTGATTTAGCACAAGGTGGTAGAATAGTGATGTAGACTAGAAAAAGTACATTTGCAAAATTTTGCTGTTGAAAAAGAATTTTAATTTGTCATCAAAAGTTGGTGAAAGAGAGAGTACAAAAAATCTTTATCCATGCTTTTGGGAGTTGTGTCTTGTTTTTTTTTTCTTCCTTTGATGTAAAGGTAACGGCCACTGGATATCCCACTCATCATGATGTTTAAGGCATTGCACTCTCTGACAGCTGAAGAGATCTAGCTGACGAAAAAGGAAAACAAGAGAGATAAAAGACTGAACTCCCCAATGTCTGTGCAGGACAGTGTGCAGATGTTTAAGGAATCTCACTAGCCTTTGTGTTCAAGCGACAATCCACCATAAAGACCAAGTCAAATGGACAAGGCGTGTTTTTTTTTTCTTTCTTTCTCGTCATTCCTCTTGACCTTTTGTATTGCATCATAATGTATTTTGAAGCCACACATTGTTGAAACGAAAGGAATAAAAAGGTGACGGGTGACCATGAAGAAAACAGTGAAAAAGCTTAAGAGGAGGAGTAAGGCAACAGCTACTGAAACTGCCAGCAAAATGAACTGTGGTTAGTAATGAACTCTTCTTGTGGTACTCTCCCCAAGTAAAAAAACAAAACAGCAATGTCTGAAGGACAAGCCAAGGCTGTTCGTCTCTGCTTGAGGCGCTTCTATTTATACTGATGAAAATCAAATCTTGTCTTTTATTAGATACAAAAACCCAAACTAAACACACAAATGGAAAAGGAGTATAGTTTTTAAAAGCTCATTAAACTATGTTACACCTAAATTATAAAAAAAAATCTACTCTAAACTGGTTACCCCATGTATTTGTTTTCCTCCTATGTAATACATGAAACTTATTGAAAAAAAGCTGCCCCCCTAACAGGCTTAACCTAAGAACTGTAGTAGCTCCTTGTCATCTTCACTCAGATGATCTATAGCTTTTTAGAGCAAAGAACTACAGTGCTGTCACTTTTTGACTAAGAGTCCTTTTACCCTTTTTTGACAGTTTTTGAGCTGTACATTTGCACTCTTCTGTAAAGCCCAATCGATATGTTTGGAGTCAGGGAGGAGTACTGGTTGTTTTCAGTCACTATGAGCACTTCCTAATTTGCTCTGCAGAACACCAGTTCACATCCTTATACCAGCCCTTCTGAGTACCGACAGCTGGCATTGAGAGGCAGGACAAGGCAAGAAGGAGTCAAGCAGGAAGAGAGGAAATCAACAGCTTATCACATTTACATCCCTCTTTGATGATCCTTCAAGGCTGTTGCAGCATGATGCTGACAAAATTAGAAATACTAATCATGCCCTTGGTGAAAAAATATTATGGATTTGTGATATATGCTTCCAAAGAACCAGTAATTGGAAATTCAATTGGACCAACTTTGAGCTCTTTAGGCCCCATTCCAAATAGTCCGTTATTACTTTTTAAACTGTTCTACTTGCCTTTTCCTTTTTTAGTTACAGGACAGATTTTAGTCAAACGAAGAGAAGGGGTCAAACAATGAAAGGTACAAGCATATACCACTTTTTTAATGAGCCCCTTCTGTCATTTAAATGCTCTGAAGTTCTTCATCCAAGCTTTAGTATCATCTCATCTTTTAGTTACGTTTTCAGTTTTTGAATTCCAGCCATGCCTTTTAAAACTAAGAAATAACTATTCACCACCATTCCCCCAGGAACAGAAATGTCTAACCCCACTAATGCCTGGGCCCACTACCCTTCAATTATCTAGCACTATATTAGACATGCTTTTCACCTTTCTGTAATCACTCTGTAATCATAAGCCTCTATACATTAGCAGCAACCAAGTGAAAAATCACAGGGATAATCACTTGGACTGAATGATGGGAGAGATGGTTCCCAACATGCACATGGATGACAGAAGGAAGATTAGGGAGAATTATGTCTGTGCATACTTCTTGGCAAGGCTGCTGACAGCTGACCTGGCACGGCTAACACAGCCAAATTTACTCATCGGATGGGGGATGCAGAACAAAACATTCCATATTGGTGTTAAACTCAAAGAGCAGATTAGTAGTTCTAAAAGAAAACTAAAATAGAAGGGCAACATAAAGCAAAAAAATATTTTCCTTCTCAACAAAGGATGCAAAAAACACTTGGTTGTAAAGACGCTTAGAACTTATATTTCTGTGGGAAATGCCTAGTTGTTCTACAGCAGCTGCTGCGTGGCCTGTGTTATTGAAATTCTTTTTTTTATCCGCAAAAAAATTGCTTCTCAGCAGTTGGCAACAGAGGTCAAGCAATTTACAAGAAAAACTTGCTCAGAGTTGTTTTTTTCTCTTTCTACTTTTGCTAAGGGATCTCCAAAGCACAGTTTTGCTCAGCTATAACAAGATATGCAGAAGCACAGCTTTTCCGAATGATGTCCAACAAATGACATGTTTATTTTTCAACTGAATTAAGTACAATTTCTTCTTCTATCCCACATTAACTTTTGATATAAATTCTGAAGAGTACATGAAGTGGGTTGAAAAGGCTTTGTCCTCCGAACAGTTTGTGTTTATTATCTACTTGAAGCAGACGCCCTCAATTGGCAGAGTAATATTCAATGAGCAATTGAATGTTCCATGCTTGTCTTGGCAATCCCTAAAATGCACTCAGTAACATAGAGCTTGCATGCACGCTCCAATGAACTTTTCTGTCTTAAATCAGATGCTGTAGTGCTCCCTCTCCTAATAGCAGGTTGAGTCCCCAGTGAGCCAAATTCCAGACCAGCTTAGCCTCCTGCTGTCTTGGTTGGCTGATAGTACCATGTACATGTAGCATGTACCTGCTATGCCAGAGTTAAATTAGAGAAATGTGAAACCAGCACTTCAGCAGCTTTAACAACGGTGTTCAGATTACCTATACACCATGGGAAGTATAATGTTAAGGTGTAAGCATTAAAAGCTGAAACAGTGACACACTTAAGATGGAATGGCCAAACTCAGACAAAAAGGTTGTTTTAATAGTCAAACTTTGCTGGTTGAGATTCTTTCAAGATTTATTTCTGTGGGCCCTAAGAAATGGCAACAATGCAAGCACACCCCAGCTTATATACAATACAAGTAAAAACTGGCTGGCAGTTAAAATAACACAATGCTGAATAAAGGTTTACTTCAAACTTCAACTATTTCAAATGTTATGTTACAAACACAAACTTCAATATATATTACTGGTTAATTTGAGGTGCAATACAAAGTTGTAAAATGAACATAAATGCACACATTATTATTATGTGTGTGGCATACATCTGTATTCAGCCCCCCTAAGTCAGTCCTGTTTGAGTGTAAATATATTAAAGGTTATGTTTTGCACATTTAAAGAGAAGAACTGTTTGCAAAATGGTTAAAGCTCTTACAGCCTGGATCGAAAATATCTGTAAACATGGATCTTTAAGTGTTACAATCTTCCTATCTGGATTTGCATCTGGACCTTAATTTAGCAGCTCTGGCTGCTACGCTTGGCTGATTCCATTGTGGGAAGAGGAGCCTTTGCCCAAGTCTTTTGTAATTTTTTTTTTTTTTCCAGAATTGACTTGACTTTAGTTGCATCTATCTTTTGATTAGCTAAGAAACATAACCTCATTTGCTTTAGTGAAGCACTTCTGCAACATGATGCTTCCATCGCCATGATCCATGAAGTGTATAGTATGTTCAGGGTATTGGTGTCCCAACAGGCCTAAAGAACCCCAGCATATTTACCGTATTAGGACATTTTGTCCTAATCTGACCCAAACATTTTCTTCCAGATGTTGGCCGTTTACTCTTCACAAAAGTGGTAAACTTTAATTTTGTTCTTCAAATGGCCTTTTCCTTTTAATGACCCAACTTCTCCATCTCTCTAGAGAGATTTGTTAAATGTACAACTACTATTTTATGTTATATGTTATTACATGGCTCTCTGTAGTTACATCAGAGTAACCATAGTTTTCCTTTTTGTAATGAATGTTCTCAGACCAGTCAGTTTAGGTAATAATTTTAGAATATTTTAATGTCTTTCATACACTTTCCATTTTCTAAATGAGTAATTTAGCAGTGTTTGTGCTATGATTATAGCATGAACTATCGATTTGTTACCAAACCCTGCTTTAAATTTATTCACAAATATTTTTTTTGACCCTTTATTTGGGGTTTCTTGATCTTTGTGATTTTGTTTGCTCCCCCATATTCCCTACCAAACCTTTGAGGCCTTCACAGAACAGCTGTATTTCTATTGTGATTAAATCACATGTTTACGAATTATTATGTAGTTCACTAATTGTTTTTTAAGGAAATTAGTTGCACTAATTCCTAGGTGAATCTTTTTTAAATGGGGCTAAATGCATTTGTTCCACACTTTTCAGATTTCAAACCAAGCACCAAGAAATCCAGTAAACATTTTTGAAGTTTGTAGTTGTTGACAACAAAATGTAGAAAAGCTCAAGGGCTATAGTGCTTTTTCAAGGCATTGTAGTGTATCATCATTCAATCTGTGCAAGGTAATATTTCTGTAGATATGATTTGTTGTCTTTTGATAAGAACTTAAAATTAGTTTCTAAAATAATGAGATGTACGAGTGATGTATCAGCCAGGAAACAAAAAGCATGCATGCATATTATTACTTACACAGCTTGTTGTTTAGTGTAGCATATATCCTTAGAGGAATAGAGCGGAGTATGAATATCCAACCCACTGAGTGCATAACACCCTGAAATAGCAGTGATTGTCAAGGAAAGGAAGCAAAATCTAATTGACTGAAAGTAGAGAGATAATTAAAGGAATCTGTTGGACAGAAGGGAAGAAATTAATGCCTCTCATTTAATAGCTGCTTTGGGAGAGAGCCGTCCCGTTGACTCATTTCGGCCCTAAAAAGGTTTTTGTCCTGAAAATTGAATTTTGGATAGAAAAAGATGGTGGAAAGGAATAGGTGAAATGGGCACTAAGTAGAATTGGTGAAAGTGGGGGGTGTTGTGTGCTAAACTGAAACTCCACAAAATCGCTCCCAATGCTCAGGGCATCAGGCATTAAGATGTCATGATTAGTGGAGAGGTTCAGAGCCTTGCCTCACCCCTGATCCTGAAGAGGTCGAGCAAAAGATTACCAAGACATTGATGCTAATATTAGCCAGAATGCACAGTGATCGATTCCAATTTTGGGTAGCAACATTTAAGAACACCAAGAAGCAGAGATCAAGACTTTTTTTCTGTATTCCTTAATGTAAATAGCATTTAAAAAACTAACAAGGGCAAGGCTCAATAGCGACTTGTATTGAGAAGCTCAACTCTGTGGGACAATGATGTCAATATAAAATGTATCCACAGCAGTGCAGGGATTTAGGAGAGCTCAAGTCCTCTTAAGCCCCTTAGGTTTGGGCTGTGAACATGCATCCTATAACCGTAAGCGTCAGACCAAGGCTTGGAAATTGTTTGACTTAGTGTCAGACCTAAGCCCTGGCCCCAGAGTGATCCATTAATTAAGATTCTATGTACACCGTCATGTCATGTTTTTTTCTGACAGAAGAAAGATTGCCAGTGCAGTAATTGGATTAGTTCAATTGGGGCTGATGAACAGATATGGCAGTGAAAGTAGAGTTCATTCGTCTGAATGTTCCATGCCTGACAGAGAGTGGCAAAAGGAGAAGAAAGCATTAACTACCACTAGACATTTATTTTAAAATAAATCACAATGAAAACTTTAGAATTTTGCAGCAGTTACAGAGGCTTTTCCTTTTAAAGAAGAGACTTGAGGTAACAGTTTATTTAGCATGTACATAAATCATTTTGGATTCAGGCATTTAATGCACAAGGTTTAAAACAATACATACATGATCTGGCTGACACTGGAGGAAGGGTCAGACAACAGAGTAACCAGCGCAGAAATCAGTGCTTGCTTGATCCAGTCTCACTGCTCTCCTAACCAGACAGCTGCATTATACCTGTACATACAATATAGCTTATTTTTAAATTCTGTTTATCTTTCTTTATAGGCCGTACATTAGATCATGTTCAAACATAAAAAAAATAAAATAAAAGAATAGTTAATATATTTCAGTGAAACTAAGAAAAGGGACTTATGGAATAATTTATCAAAAACATAAGATACAATGATTTTATTTCTTGTAAAGTGAAACACTGTTGTTTAAAAATGGGGGATTTTTATACTCATCTTAATGTTTTTTTTTTCTGTTTTGTTTTTATGATATCATCAGCTGAAGCTGGGCAAACCCATTGTTACAAGTTTATTAGGATATCCTTTGATGAGTTTTTATATTTCTGTTGCCACAAAAGCCCTGTGTGAATTCTCCTGTGGATTGACAAGTTCTAAGAGATTTTTCTCTGTAACAGCTTTTAAATCAATACAGGAATTAGCAAGCTGCATTGTAAAAGGATGATTGATGGATTTAGTAAAATGAAGAAAAAAAAGGTTATTGCACAACTGAGTCCTAGTGGTTTGGGGTTGCTTAAAAAGGGGAGAAAAATCTTTTTACAAGTCAAACACAGTATGACTGCTAAGAAAAAAAAATTGAAGAAAAACAGAAAGACAAAAAAAATTCCAAATGTTTCAATCCTATTGGTTTTGGGACCTATGCTGTCATATCTTAATGTCTTTTAACCACTGTTGGTGTCCTGTATTCCTACACTTTTTATGTGTTTATTTTTTCAGGGTTATTTGTCACCATTGACATGTCTCTGGGTTTAATATTTTCTGTTCCTTCCTAAGGCGTGTTTCAACCACCGCTTTTTGCTTAATGTGACTCAATCCTCCAAGGACACTGTGCCAACAGTAGATCACGTGACACGGTTTTGCTCCAGTTAAGTTGGTTTGGAAGTGATTGGGGAATTTTGCCTTAAACCCAACACTACCTGTGAACAGTGGTCAGACACTTTATTCAGAGGACGCCAAAAGCTCTTTAAAGCAAACATTTAGTCAGATACTGTTTTAGCCTCAAGCCCATTTTAACACAAATATGGACGTGGTCATCCACCTCTGTTTCCATTGGTTACAAGGACCAAAATGTAAACAAGCTCAGCTAGCTGAGTAGTTTGCTTCAATCAACTGTTCATGTGAACCTGTAAAGTGTTCATTATAAGTCATTTGTATTCTTTGTAATATAAATCATTTCATTCCCAGCTTCACTGTGTAATTTCAATTTTCATTTAATGTTTAAAATTTTGTCATCATAATTTTTGGTACAAAAAAAAAAGTCATGTCTTTACTTTGACTTGAAAACTTTTAGTTATTGTTTTTGCTTTTTGTTTTAAACAGAAATGTAATTTAAATACCACTGGCTGGGGCCCGTTTCCCTGGTTCGGGATGATAATTCCCATAGTGATCCTGAACACCGTAGTTCTCTAGTTATTATATTCTGCTTAGACTAAAATAAAGCACAGTCCTGTAGAAGATAAAAACCTTCTTTTGTCTCTGTTATTCATTTAAAAAGTCTGGAAAAAAGATTTTTTTTTATGGTATGGATTTATGCTGTGTGCAGAGCTTTGAAGGAGTATATGTCCCAATATAACGTGTATTGCAGAGGGCATGTCATTGTATTAATTGAGCTAACAGCTCTAACCATATCCGAATACCAAATTAGATAAGACGGTTAGTAGAGAATAGTTTAAAAAGGGCGAATAATGCATAATAAATGGAAGGGAGATTGAAAGAGAGAGCAGAATAAATTGTGAATGGATTAAAGGAAAATGGATATCCTGTGCTTGTCTTCAGGATATTTTACAGCAGTAACAATATCAGATTCTATGAGAGCTGCTGGTTATCAGCATAACTTAGCAGGAGAAAATCAGTTATAGCTTTTACTCTTAATTCTCCCCTATTGAAGACTTTGCTAACAAATGTTATATAAAGTCAAATGTTAAATCAAATGTTATATCATGTTATATCAAGTTATATCAACTGAAGAAATCTGTTATCAATATGCAACAACTGCCAATGAGTACATAGAGGAGTTTTATTGTTTGTTTTCAGTAATACAGACAAATCAACTTTTTTGCATGCCTTGTCAGTTTCAGGCCATGCAAAAAAACATTAAAATTTTTTAGAGATGCACTCGGTGGTATTCCTATAACTGTTTTCCTGTTGCATAACCACAATCTGATTTAGGTTCATTTCTAATTCTGTAACTGATCGCACCAAAGCAGCAGCACACAATTACTTTTTTTATATTATCATGAAATTTTAGTGAAGTTGGTTTTATGCCAGAATGAAAAGGCCACAGCACTGATGTATAATACTGGATTGGTAATCAAGGGACTTCGGCATTACACGGTGGCACCGTTCCTATGTAATGATTCAGAACTGCTGAGGAAGAAGGAGTGTCAGAATTACACAAAACTGGTTCTTTTTAAAGTTGTAGGGAAATCATATTTAAATGTCAAATCATTTATGCTTAAATGTTATATAAATGTACTGTTTATCAGACAATATTTCCCCAAAATTTAGATAACTTCTATTTAATCCCTTGATGCCTGTTGTTGCTAATAAGCAACAAACCACTTGTTTTACACTGCAAAAATGTAAATCTAAGTAAATAAATTTTTCTTAAAATAGGAGCATTTTTTTCTTGAATTGAGGCTGTAAGTGAGATACTTTGCCATTGGAACAAGACAATGTACATTTAAAAAAACAAAAAACAAAAAAAAAAACAGCCACAGTCTCTTGTTTCAACTGCATAATATCTAATTATCTTACTTTAATAAATGCTTATTATAAGACACTTATTTTAACAATTTTCACAAAAACATTTTTGCAGTGTAGGCAAACATAACGTTTTTGCATCACCCCAATGCTAGTCACGGTGTATGTTATTATGTAATTATAACTGCTGACACAAAATATACTTTATCTTCATTTCTATTTATTTAGTAACATTAACTATTTTAATTTGGCATCCCATTGAAGGGGAAAAACACGCACAAAATGTCTTTTAATATGGACATGTATATCAACTCAGGCTTCAAGGGGTTGAAAAAAAACCTGTTTTTTTTTCCCGCAAGTTAGTTTTACGTCAGCTTGTACACCTAAATTTGGCCAATCATATATTAACAGTCATCTGTCAAATTTTTCGGTCATAGCATCTTGATTCATATGTCGCAGCTAGTATTTGCAAGCGTTGAAATAAGAATTATTTACTTGACCATTGAGTTATGTCCCAGTGTTCACAGGGATGGACGTCTGTTTCTTCGGCAGGCGTAGAGCTAACAGAACTGGCAGCATTGCAAGGTAAGGGCTCAAAGATGTACGACTGTAAGCTTTCTACACCAAACCAAGCTTCTGCCGCTCTGGCGTCCTCTTATAAAAAAAGTATGATGGAGGAGACTCCTCCACGACCTCCGACACAAAACTATCTTCCTCTTGCATGTTTCCCCTGTCCATAGTGTTCCTTGACAGTGTCGTTGCTCAGAGGTACTTAGTACCAATGTAATCGGGAACCTGCTAGCACTAAGTTGCTAAATGGTTAGCAAGATGCTTCTGAGACACCGGCCACAATCCAACTTGCTTAGCAACGTTCCGCCACAACAATCCCGCTCCCTTGATAAACAACCAATCACATTCACTTTATCACTCGCGTAAAGTCGGGCACCACTCGGGAGAATTTGGAAAGGCAATGGTTGGAACAGCCGCTTCCCCACAACTTAAAAGGCAAGTAAACATTTGTTAATAACATAACATTGCTTATAGTTTACCGTGACTATGGTTAAGATATATATATATATATTTGCCAAAACAATACAAGAAAAGTAAGCATTGCACACAGGCATGCTGTGAAAAATAGTGTTTAAATTACTAAAACTAAACTGTTTGTTGGTTTGTTTGTTTTATAAAGCCTCTGGTAAGTCTTACACCTTGTCCATAATACATAATAATAAAAATAATCATACTTTATAGAACTAACATTGGAGAAATTTACTTCTGCATTTAACCAATCCGCTTAGGTAGCAGTGGGCTGCCATTGTGGGGCGCCCAGGGAGCAGTGTGAGGTTAAGGGTCTTGCTCAGAGACCCAGAGTGGAAGTGTTTGGGAAATAAACAAACAATGCATATTGTAACAACTACATCAATGAAAACTGTACTACACTAATTACAAGTTATATCTAAAACTACTTAATACAGTATATTTGTATGTTTTGAGTATCGACCTGTCTGAGTATGTCTTAGTGGCCTTTTGTTAAGAAGTGTCCTATAAGAATAAGCCAATGCCATGACACCAATGACCAGAGGAAGACATGGAGGATGTCACAGCCCTGGTAAGTGAAATGACCCCCAAGCAACTGGAGCCTCAAAACAACCAAGTTATATTCCCTCAGTGCTTCAGATCATCGCTAAAACATTGCATTCAAATTTATTCTCTTAATGTCTGCTTAATAAAAAAAAAAGCTTTATTTTAGACATTTAAGTTTGGGAAAAATAATGCATAAAAAAGAAAAACAAACTGTAGAAATCTACAGGAGCATATACTTTTTATTTCATTTTTACAGTACAAGAAAGATAGTGAGTCATAACCATAAGCATAAAGCACAATCAAAGGAAAACATTCCTCTTTTCCAGACCTGTTTTTTATCAATAAAGTGTACAGGGACAAGCCAAGTTTGTCCAGTCAAGTTCATATTGACTGGACGAAAGGATAATTAAAAGTTATTTCATAGGAGAAAATCTTAAGCTTTTCAGAACTTGTAATGCGATAGAATAGCCTCCCCAACGGTGTGCCATATAGCTAAAAACACTACTGGCAGTAGAAGAAAACTCAGTCCCATTATCTGTTCTGAGAATAGAGTATAATACATGAGGAAACATCAATGACCAAGCCATCCCTAGACGCTGCACATAATTTCTTGTTTATGGGTCTCCTTTGTGCATCTGTGTAGCTTCATTGGTGTGGAAAAAGATTTATGGTTGCTAAATTTGCAGGTGATAAAAAGGTAACGAGTGGTCAGCCGGGGCACTAACTCCTACCCATTCACACGCAGACTCCTGATCGGAGTCCTTGGGGACCATCTCTCATTGTGCTGCAAGACACTCTACGATTCCACATGACAAACTGGATTGTTCCTAGAGCGCGTCCTGTTGAATTATTTTGGTCCTTTCGATTGCATCTCCTACTCCTGAGATTTTCCTCTACGGTTGCCTTTGAGCCATAAGCCTCGACAGCCACCGTTGTCGATACTCAATCTGTTCTGTAACCCCTAAAGCTGATGAAATGTGCTAACAGGCGTTTGTTTGTTTTTCGCTGGTAGGGGGGCCAGGGGAAAGAAAATTGAACAACAAGAGTCTTTTGACAGTTCCATTTGTTGTGATGTTTTGGTGTAAGGGATAATCATGAAGTATGGATTGGATAGAGAAAAGTTATTACATTTTGTTGTCTTTATCCTTGTTTGAGTTGTATAAAAAAAAAAAGGGTTCAAAACATGGTTCTTTGCCATTTTTAGGTTTTTCCCCAATTCTCATAGTTGAGTAGAAAAGCTGTTGCT